CACATAACAACAACAAATACAAATAGAGATTTGGGCAGTAGGTTCTAGAAAAAATCTCCCCACTTTTTGCCCTGCAGTAGCACAAAAAATGAATGTTATACTCCTATGGACTATAAACTCCTATGCAATATATTCAGATTTTTGAAGAATTTTAAAAAGATTTTGGTAGCCAAATAATATGTTACAGTATCAGTGATACCAAAATTACTAAGAGTTTAGTAGCTGCTGCTCACCTTAACTGACCAGTGGAGGCTTATGCACCATTTCTACCCCTTTCCATCCTACTCCAGAAAGCTTATGGGAATGCAATGAGTATGAGTGATATTATTATGTGGATGACCTAGAATCTAATTTACTAAATGAAGGTAATCACATTCATGTTTTTATACTGTAATATTAGTAATACACTAACCAAAAACCAAACCTACTGCCGTTGAGTCATATCCGACTCATAGCGACCCCTCCTTGGGTTTCCAAGGCAGTATCACTATGGAAGTAGATTGCCCAACCTTCCTTCTGAGGAGGGGCTGGTGGGTTTGAACCGCCAGCCTTCTGGTTAGCAGTCAAATGCTTTGGCACTACGCTATAAGAGCCCCTGGTAATACACTATCACATTAAATTTCATAATTGATCTTAGTACACGAATGAGGCACATTACATATAAGAACTGTTGACTTTTTACTTAGTGTTGCTTTACTAAACACTTTATTTCGAAAATGCATCACATAATAATTGCTTATTTAAATAGATCCCCTAGAGTCTGATTTTCTTGTGCTTTCATTTTCTTTCAGTGTTAAAGTACTAGCTTCTGGGAATAAAACATTTCTCAATTCAGAAAAAAAAGGCTGATTGTTCTACAAACAAGGTAACAAGCAATGACTAGAACCGCATGAAACAGAATCAAACTGGATTTAATCAACTAATGATGACTAGCCTTGCTCTAAATGAACAACTCAATTCAATGAATACTCCTCTGAAAGCCAACGAATTAGCCATAGCCAGATGTTTTTGAAAGTTGGCCAATCAGTGGCAGACTCCAGTGAACGTGCTTCTGAAAGTCAGACAATCAACAAAAAATCCCTCCTCCGTAACAGTGCTCTTGAGGCTGATATCAATCTCCAGTCTCTGACCCTAAAATTCTGTATAAGATTTGAAGCCTGTTTTGCTTAGAGAGGATCTCTGGTAGTGTAGAGCCTAAGGCATTTGACTGCTAACCAGAAAGCCCGTGGTTCAAACTCACCAGCCACTCCTTGGAACGAAGATTGGGGAATCTACTTCCATAGTGACACCACCTCAGAAACCCAAGGAGGGGTCACTATGAGTCGGACACGACAAGATGGCAGTAAGTTTGGTTTGGTTTGGTTTGCTTAGAGAGACTGTGCCTAAAAAGCATAGTTCTTCTTTACTTAAATAAGTAACCAATTAACCCCTTTGTTTTAGATATTGAGAGGTGGTCTTTTTCTTCAGTACTTCTTACAATCTGTACTACATTACTCATGATGTGTACTCTTTAGAAATTATTTTTTAAGTGTCTCATCACTGATAAGAAACAAGTTCAAAAGAGAAGCAAGACTGTCCTGGGCTCATGGGAAACCCAGAGCCTTACACTGCACTTCAGCAAGTGCTTAGCAGCTTTCCAAATGACTCTTGTGCTGATACCTAAGCCAATGTTGTAAAGTAGCTGAGATCATAAATAGTTTTATTAAACACTCCTATATAGATATGGGGGAGCTCTGG